GCAGTCAGGTGGGCAGCAGTCAAGGCGGCTCCTTGGTGTAAGCAGCAGCAAACGGCAGGTCACCCAGGGAGAGAGCAGTGGAAGGGAGAAGGAGCACCCCTAGGATCCTGCACCCCCGGAGCTCTGAAGGCTGTTTGTGGTGCTAGGCGGGGACTCACAGAGCGACCAGAACACAGTGCAAGCAAACCTGAGAGTCCATCTAGACCACACACGTGTCAGTCAGCAGAGGGTGGGTGCTCCCTGCTGTTGGAGACTATCACCAAAATCTAAGGCATTAGCTACTCAGTCAGCAGAGGGTGAGTGCTCCCTGGTGATGGAGACTATCACCAAAATCTAAGGCATCAGCTACTCCTAGCCATGAAGAAGCAGATTCATGTCTGCCTACAAGTCTGTAGACATACATAGCATACATAGGACTGTGGCTTCTTGGGGGTTGAGGGCTGAAAACCCAGCCTAGTAGTGAAAAGGAGAAACCCAGGGTCACAACTATCTTTTCTTAAGGACCAGATGGGTAACATTGCACTCTTTGGGCCCTTCAGAACAGTGTGCTTCCTTCTAATACTGTGTACCTCTGAGATGTCCCTCTTTTGTTTTGAAGTATTTAGGTGTGCATGCACACACACACACACACACACACACACACACAGAGGCTTAATTACAGCAATTTTGCTCGCCCCACCAGTTCAGCAATGGTATTTTTCTTCTTCGGGGGTCTACGTTTTCTACATCTCTATTTTTTTAGAACTAACTTCTTTGTTATTTTCTGTGAAATCTTGCTGCATGCTGCCTTTAGGTAGATGAATACTATATTAATATTTATGCTCCACTCCAGTAGAAACCACATTGATACAATTCTTTTACCACTATCGTTTGAAAAGAATGATTAATTGAAAGGCATACCGATTAAACACTTCTCAGCCCGTTCCCCTAGCAACGATCGCAGACTATTTTTCCTGGAGCTCAGGTTTCTGCCTTGAGCTAGGTTTGCAAAGCACCCGAACAGAAACTGTCACATTAGCTAATCAGTCTGTCATTCATCTCTAACGTATTCCAGAAGGCAACACTTAGGAACCTCGCATCAGTGTTGAGAAATGGTGAGTGACTGGTCATCAGTGACCCTGGTTTGCTGTTAATTTTTAGGCTGCAATTGCTAAGCTGATGGCAAGGATCTGAACACGGTTGTCGCTGTGCAGTGAGTCACTTACCAACTGGAGGAAAACAAGATTATTCTCATCATTTGTAATTGTCTGAGCAGCCCTTGTTGCTGTGGTGATCCTGAGCCCTTTTAGTGCAGAAAAATGAAAATTCTACATTGCTACTAGCGTGGCTGGTCAATGACAGATGTGTTGTATGTGATGAACTACGAGGTTGAGGATGTAACTATACAGTCCAACAGGTACAGCACAGCACAGCACAGCCTAGAAGGAAAATCTCCATCAGCCACTCGCCAGTAATGAGGCCCAGGCACTGCCCGGTAGAGACTCTGCTCTTCACACCTGTGCCATAACCTAGTTCCATAGACTCAGTTCCCTCCGTTGTAAAATGAGGGGTAAACAGTATTCATTGTGTGGATCAAAGAAACTAACAGAACACACTTCAGAAAGCACCTGCACACCACGAGCTCAGCCCAAGAATGTGGGAGTTGTGTTGGGAAGACCCCGCTACTGAAGACAGCACATACTTTGGTTACAGGAAAGATCACAGAAATGACACTGATATTAATCTCAAAGCTTCCCCCATGGTGCCTAGCTTTTACAGAAACTGCTCTTCAGGCTGCTTGGGGAGAAGAGACATCAATGATCTTCTGTGTAATGGCCAGCCTAGCAAGATAAATCCATTGGTTCAATAGTGACATGCATATTATGGAGGTAACCAGCATCTTTCTGCTTGGATTTAAGGCCTACTCTAAAGGAAGGAACTCATCCTTTGTACTGCAAGCGCAGCCAAGAACCCACAGTTGAGAAGTTCATAGGCCCTAGGAGTAAACCTACTAATACTGTTCTGCTTAGTGGATGTAGTATTAAACTGTCTTCCGGAAGGTTATCTTTTTTCCTATTATTGAAAATAGATTCTTTTCTCATACAGTACATCCTGATCACAATTTCCCCTCCACCACTCCTCACAGTTATACCCTCCTCCCCTCCCATCTCGATTCTGTCTCTCATTTAAAGGAACAGACTCCTGAGAGATAACAACAAAACATAAGAAAATAAAATGTAAGATAAAACAAAAGCATCACACTGAAGTTGGAAAATCAACAGAAGGAAAAGAGCCCCAAGAGCGGGTACAAGAGTCAGAGACCTACTCATTCTCACATTAAAGGCTCCCATAAAAAGACTAAACACAAAGCTTTAATATATATGTAGAAGACCTGTGTAGGCTTTGTGTTTGCTGCTTCAGGCTCTGTTAGTTCGTATGAACTTTGTCCAGTTGACGATTTAGAGGGCCTTGTTCTCCTGGTGTCCTCCATCCCACAACTGGTCAGAGTGTAGAGAAAAAGTGACTGTAGACTCCTCAGCCTTAAACCAGGACCTCTATATTGTACTCCTCTCCCAAGGCTTAGGGAATAACCAAAAGGGGGACAGGAAGATTACACAAACTAGAGCACTGGAAGACGGCTAAGGAATGATCAGTGTCTTCGGACGTGACTAAGCTATTGCACTCACGACCTCATGGCAGCTCTGGATACCTGCCCAAGATCCAGCCAGCCACTGTTCTAGCATGGATGGGTGAGAAACTCACAAGGCCCCACCCCTGGATGAGAGGCTGTTAGCAATGAATGTCATTTGATTACACAGAGAAGCCCGTGGTTTGAAGGAAGAAAGAACAATGCTTTTGATAGTGAATGTGTAATTTCACTTTCTACAGTGGGTAATATTTAGAAATCTATATCTAATGGAGATAAGAGCCATCATGGACAATTTTCTTAACACTTTTAAGTTTCAAATTCATAGGCTATTTCTCATAAGAACGTTCTGATTTTTAAAGTTCAGCTGGAGCACTCTTATGTTTTTCTCTTTTTTTTTTTGAGATGCAATCAGTGTGTTATTCTCTTTTTCTTTAATGTTTTATACAATATATTTTGATCAGGTTTCCCCTCCCCCAACTCCTCCGAGATCCTCCCTACCTACCCAACTTTAGCACCCTCTTTTTCTTTCTCTCTTTCAAAAGAATACAAAAAGGAATATCAAAACCAGCAAATAACAAAAATAATAAAATAAAAATTGACAAAAGAAATGTAGCAAAAACCGTTGAGTTTGTTTTGTGTTGACCAGCTAGCTACTCCTGGACAAGAGGCCTGCCTGGAGTGAGATGACCTGAGCGGTTTTCAATCCCAAGACTTCCCCCGTGTTCTTTGTCCAGTGACGTCAGCTCTCTAAGCTCCAGCCTTTTGTTGGAAAATTACAGAAAGAAAATAAAAGCCCCAAGTTACACTGCTAAAAATAAGTTACTATGAGCAAATTGCTTAGCATAGTTAAATGTGTCACTTTCCATAGCCAGGAGCTACTTAGCGTCTAAATATTAAATTCCAGTATTTAAGGAGCTGATGTTTCATCACTTGATATGGTGGTACCCACCTTTAGTCCCAGAATACAGGAAACTGAGGCCAGTGGACTGAGAGTTCCAAGCCAACTTGGGCTACTACAGAGTGAGTTACTGGCCTGCCCATGAGACCCTAACACACATACATATATACATGCATACATACATGCCTATGTGTGTATGTGTATGTATGTAAATATATATTCATTTTATCTTATCATTGCAGACCTAGAGGGCGCCCCTCTAGGACCCTTCCCCCCATCTCATTATTGGCAGGGCCATGCTTCTAGTGTCTCTTTAGTGCATAACCCATCGTGGCACGGCAGCTTCGACCTGTAAGCATGTTGATTTAGAGGTCGTCCTCTGTTTATGTATCTGCTCGTCCCTGTTGTAAGCATGCCAGTGGTGAAATCAGCCCAGCCCAGTCTCTTTGGATTAAGCTCCGTACAGGGCACCATGCATTGTGGGCTCTTTTCACCTCTTGAAGGATGAAGCTAGGGGTTATTATGTGTTTCTTTCACCAGTTGGAAGAAGAATGAAGCTAAATAGGAACTAGGTTGAGCACATGCTAAAGTAGAAAAAAAAAAAAAGAAGTTGAAAGTAATATCATAATGTACTAAATGTAAAACAGAATATGTAATGCCCTGCTCAGCTTCATGGAGAGGAAAACATAAGAAAGCAACTCACTGACAACACCCTCTCTGTGGACTCCACAGTGAGGGATGTACAGCAGGATCCAGCCAAACCTGAGCAGAAAAAAAAACTGACTGGTACCTCCCCCAGGTCATAGACCAAGCAGGATGCCAAACATGGAGACGCTTTCCTAAGTGTAGTGTGTGTTACGTGTGCATGCCGGAGAGGCCAGCGAGTACAAATACCGAGATAAGGCCGTTGGCTATTCTGAAAACCTTGCTGGAAAACCTCCCAAAAGGTTCTTTAATCAGATCCACTGGGATGAGATATGAACTATAATAAGACCTCAAAAAGAATGAGTGGATGGAAAATAAAGGCATCTGGCACAGCGCAGGGGTCAGGACAGAAAGAGGGCAGTCGTGGGGTGGGGCAGGGGTGAGGTCAGAGAGACCCCGAGGAGTCAGGGAGCACCCCAACTCCCAAGTGCTGCTGGAGCAAGGTCAGTGAAAAGTTCAAATCCAGCGGCTTCCCTCTCCATCACGTTCTCCCACCTCAGCTGTGACGAGTGTGAGAACACTGAGAAGTGTTAAGTTCCCAGAGCCAGGGGTTCCCACTTTGCAGATGCTGTGCACTTGCCTAAGGCTGCAACATGGGTGTGCATGTGTTAAAATGATTGTCAGAGTGGTTACAGTGAAACTTTAATATCCCAAAGTTCATGTCTGAGGGTTAGATAATTCATTTCTATTCCAGAGTCATTTTTTAAAAAAAGGCAAGGACAAGAAAAACTTTATTGAAAGCGAACTGTCTCTTTCATGTCTGACTAGGTTCCCCAAGATGAATGGACAGGGTACACACCTCGTGGGAAAGATGATGAGATTCCGTGCCGAAGGATGCGAAGTGGCAGCTACATCAAAGCCATGGGGGATGAGGACAGCGGAGACTCAGACACGAGCCCCAAGCCTTCTCCCAAAGTGGCTGCGCGGAGAGAAAGCTATCTCAAGGCTACACAGCCCTCCCTCACGGAGCTCACCACACTCAAGTGAGTAACCCTACCTGCATGCTGCCCTCCGTCAGCCCTGGTGTTAGCACCGAGGATCTGGCTGGTGGCTGGCTAGCTTTAGTGGAGCCGAAAGCATCCCTCAGATACCGGGGTGTGATGACTGGCCTGTTGATGTTGACATTGGATTTGACTTGTAAATACCACTGTCATCAAAGTCAGAGGAACACCAGGTAGACTCCCAATCCTCAAAGGCAATCAGAATGCTTTTGGAGGGGAAAAAAAAGATTTCTGGTCAATGAACAGGACCATGTACGCCATTTGGGAACCTTTTTTATCAGCCACTAAATATAAAAGTCTTCCTTAGGAGACTTGGATTTTCAGAAAATTATGTAAGGTGGTAGAGATGTTTATGTCATAGAAATTTATAGAATGTGGCCACGCTGGGAAATTGGGTAGGTGCCTGAGAGCTATTGATATACATGTTTGACTTCAAACTCCGTACATATTACAGTTTGCAAGACCTTCAAAGTGTTTTTGTTTATTTTGAAGAACGTGAGTATGAGTACTTATATTTGTGCAATTTGAAGAAAAACAACTTTGCAAGGCAACAACTAGAACTGATTCTTTGTGGAGACATGTTCTAACCATGCTGTCCTGGCTAGCCTGGTGCTCACTGTGCAGTCCAGGCTGACCTTGAACTCAACAGAGACCCGCCTGCCTCTGCCTCCTTGGGGCTGGGATTAAAGCCTTGCCAGCACGCCCATCCCAGACGTTGATTATTTCAAACAGTCCTAATTTTTAATATTGTTTATAGGGAGTAAGTCAGAGCCTTGGAATATAGATCTGTTCGGACCTAAAGTTATATTTACTGCAGCTGATTAGCGTTTTTAAAGCGCCCTCTTTGTAAACACATGTGACTAATACTATTTACATGCTTGCATTTGTCACAGAGTGAAATATTAAGAGACAAAACAGAAAAGGACAAAGCAGATGGGTTAAAATATAAAAATACAAAATCAGACTATTGATCAAGAACTTTGAAAAGCAGCTGACCGATCTATAAGGAGAATTATTTAAATAACGAAGGACAGAAGGAACTAGACAAAAAAAAATCTACTCTTGGGTCCTTTTCAAGGGACCATATGGAATTGCTCTGAAATCTTTCTAATTGAAGATTAGCATTGATACATTAGTTACCTAATCCACAAAGAGAAGCCCTTCTCTCTAACCTTCCCACACCCGTGTGCTTTCGCTTCGCTTTGGTGTGTCAGTTCATCAGGGCTGCCATCACAGATTATCACCAACAACGAATTTACTGATTCCTAGCACAAGGAGGTAGACGTGATGGGGCTGTGCACCTGCCAAACCCTGCTGGGGTCCATCCTTCCTCCCTTCTTCTAGATTCTAGTTGAGGCCACAGCACTCGGCATGCTTTGGCTGACATCACACGGAGCTAACCCATCCCTACAACACCAGCCGTAGCATGAGGAACCTCGCTAATTAGCCTCGTTGCTAACATGATTAAGTCTGCGAGACCCTGTTCTTGCTGTGAGCTTTCACAAATACTGGCAGTGCAGCTATTTGGGGGAGATGAGTCAGCCTATAATGTGACTACAGGATAAAAGTTGGTCGTGTGTATAAATTTATAAATTATATATGTATATGATTTATAGACTTTAAAATATCTCTCTACAAAAGACAATAATTGTCACGGTCATGGTGCCAAGAGACAAGTAAAGGCAGGCAGAGGGCAGGAAGTCACTTTAGTCCTACAAGCTCATCTGAAGTGAAGAGGTGAGGATGGGCAGCCCCCGGCATTCTCCCCCATCCCGAGCATCCTATCAGGTCACTTCCAGGACATGCTGGGCACATTAGCTGAGTAACAGCTGGGGCCTGAGGTGACGGTGTGCGGTGATTGCCACTGCTCACTGCAGCGTACAGATGTCAGGGCACTGAGAGGAGCCCTGTGAGGATAATGGAGCAAGCTTCAGGGAGACTGGAGACGGCAGGTTCTGAAGTCAACATTCTCAGCTTTGCTCTAGGGACGTTCCTACTGACAGCTTCCCAGAAACACATCCCTTGAAATCAGTTCTCCCTTCCTTTCTACATAATACTTTCTTGCTAACTCCCTGGGCCATGGCTAGACATCCAAACTCTTTTTGTGGCATGCCGTCATCTACAAAGTTCACGCTCAAGAACTATGTAATTGAGTCATCAAAGAAAGATAATGTTTTAAGTAAGCCTGTGGTCTTGTGGGGGGAGGGGCGCACTCCTCCGGGGCACATGCAGTCCACGGGTCACAGATGAGATAGTCCTGGAGAAGGATGCTGACGTCGGTGAAATGCTCAAACTGGGTGTGAGCAACGAGGGCTTGTTCTACTCTCCAAACCGATGGAAACTCAAAACGGAAATGGGTTTACTCACGGATGTTTTTTACAAAAAAAAAAAGCATGTTTTATTACTCAGTACAGAGGTTCATCAAGCCGTCTCTGTGTTGACCCCTACTCCTCAGCAGGCCAGAGAATGTCTGAGCACTATACAGTCTTAATTTTCTTCTCTGTGTGAGCATGATATTCTGCAGAATTATTCCTGAGTCTGCTTCTCAGCGTGTATTCCTCTCTGCCCTGTCTCATGAGTCCCATGTATTACCACAGTCTACATATTGTTTCCGTCATACTTAGTCACATACGATCACATGCTGATGTCTAGTTTAACCTTATTGAAGGAGAAACAAGTCAAAAGTGTCATGGTTTGGGATCAGTCTCGTCTTATTTCTTGGTGGGGTTTTGACTGGAGTCATTATTTTTCTAGAAGTTTGAAGCGTTTAGTCCCTCATACAAAAAAAGATACCCAACTCCTGGAATTCTAGTTCCCCCAAAAGAGAAAACTATATTTATGTTCCTACTTCTTTGACATTTAAGTCAGTCTTTTTCCTCCTTCCTCCTCAACAATTCGCAGCTTTAAGGATGAATCATAGACATGAACCAAGATAACTAAAATTAGTCCAGCGGGACTGGGACAACATTTTGTTTGTGGCTTTCCGCTCCCCTCTTCTCCCAGAGACGGAGAGTACTCCTACACACCCTTCCATTGTTGGCCTCCTAGTTTCCAAAAGCGTGCCGAGAACTTGTTCATGCGTCAGCTCCTTAATGCTCCTGGTTGGGTCTTCGACGCACAAACCCTACGAGCAGGTGAACATTCTGAAATCATAAGAGTCCATCTTTGGGCTTAGAGAGCTCTGCAGTCACCCCTGCCTGGAAGCCGCTGTCTCTCTCATGTTCCTCTTCCTCTCCGCCCCACTGACCCTTCACTTCACTAGTTTCTCCTTTCTGGGATGAGCTGACGGTGCATCTGAAATGACATCATCCCTAGAAAATTATTATGCTTCCCAAAGAAGCTTCCGAATAGTCAGTAAGAAATTTTCAGGCAAGCGAGGAAGAAGTTTAGGAGCCAGAGTTTCTTCAAACCCCATCCCCGCAGTTTAGCTCTGGAAAAGACTTAGGTCTTTTATTTAGATTCTTTATAATTTTGTTTGTTCTCAGAGCTAGACTAGAGACTGCTGCAGTGGTTGGTTAAAATTTTGCCCAAGCCAGTTTTGAATTTATTTCACTCAAATATAGTATAGAAAAAAAATGTTCTAAAAGGATACTAAGAGAGCTGCCATTTAAAACATTCTAAAAGGTACATTTGGTTTGTTGGCACGTGGCTTTAAGCCCAGCAGTCGGGGGATAGAAGCAGGTAGATTTCTGTGAGTTCAAGGTCAGCCTGGTCTATGTAGTAAGTAAGCTTCAGGTCAACCAAGACTATATCATGAGATCTTATTTCAAGAAAATGACAACAATAACAACAACAACAAATCATCATCATCATAATAATATAATACAAAATACTCTAAAGTTAAGTTCAAATACCCAGTAATCCAAAGCAAATAATGCTTTAAAATATCTTCGTTTTTTTTTTTTTTTTATCCCTTCATGGAAGCATCAGGTGAAATAAAATCCCCTGAGGGATATTGCTGGGCCCTAACAGATCCCAGGGTTGTGGAGGCAAGGAGGTACTGCATCAGTGGCGTAGACTCTGAAAGGCAGGTAAAAGGCAAACAGCAGACTTGTGGGGAGAGCCTTGTTTCCCCTCCTCCTTCTACCTAGGCTGTGTCCCAATTTAGTGACTTTGCATGTTTGCCCCTCATTGGTTAGGCACAATCAGGACCTCTGACATGCCTGTTGCTAGGTCCTCAGGAGGATTCCAGGTTGGCCTTATCTTCCTGTTGGGGGCGGGGGGGGGGGGCAGGGGGCAGCTTCTAAAACCACTGAGGAGGGCCTGGGCATGATAATGGGACCAGTCAGGGCTCTTAGCAATTTAGATACAGTGTCTAAGAAGTGACTTAAGGGATTTTATGTCTAATCCTGTGTTTCAGGTGGTTCATCCTCTTCATCTTCATGTATTTCCCAGCTCCTCGCTTTTTGAAAGATAAATTAATTACTATTCTCACGTTGTGAGCAAATAGGCAACAAAAAGCAACTCACGGGAGGGATAGTTCACTTTAGCTCACAGCTTGAGAGGGCATGGCCCATCCAGGTCAGGAGATACGGCCAAGCTCATAGCATCTGAATTCCTTCCGTCAGGACAATCCTTAAAACAGAGAACCATAGCTGTCCTTCTTTTCTTCTTTTGTTTAGATGGCAGCCTGTTCCGTGAGGTGGTATTACCCTCGATGTGGGTGGGTCTCCCCTCCCCACTTAGACCCCTCTGACTACATCCTTACAGATATTCCCACAGGTGTGCTTCCATGGTGACTCCAAATCCAGGGGAGATGACGATGAAGATGAGCCACCCTACTTGGTGAAACCGCAACTGTCTCTTTCCTTTGGGCTAATGGCTTAACATCTCTGGAAAGCCTCAGGCTTTCAGCATGAGTGGGATCTCTAAGCTGACTCCTCCACACCCGAACTGTGTCAGCCAGCCTAGCAAATCCCAGCGCTGATGGCTGAACGTTAGCCTCCCTTATCCTGGACTCAGTGACCGCAGTTGTCTGTGGA